TCTTGTTCCCAGAAATTATATTCATTTATACAAGATATTCATTTATACAGTATACATTTAGACAGGATCGACTGTATATATATTACTATAGTTTACGAAGAAATCGCTGATGATGAAGAAGAACTTAAACAGTGTATGAGAGAAATTATATTAAGGCTTTCGAATTTGGAAACTATACAAGATAGTACCAATGAAGCAACCCGCTGTGTTTTTATTAAATCTATCCTAAATGCATCAATCGCAATTACCCGGAAACTTACCAATAATGAAAAAATATATATTGCATACCAAGATGATGTATCCGGCGAAGATAGCTCTGGACGTGTTGACTATTCAATAAAAGGGTATGAAGATCTTATATTATAGCAGAGGGAAAATCACGCAATGTTGAAATTGGATATCTCCAAAATATAAAACAACTGGATAGCGCGAGTCATATGAATAAAAGGAAACGATCGCAGAGCAGGCATTTGAAAATGATAATGATTATCTCTACAGGATAGTATCTACAGGTATAGCAAAGTTAATGTTACTCTGATAACTGCTCCGCTAAAAATTTTATTATCCTGGTAACTCATGTTATATATTTCCTAATTATCTCTTTTCTAGTCACAGAATGGCATTTTATTAAACTTGCTACGGAAGGGCTATATTCTACCAGCAAAAGTGAATATCGGATTAATTTATCTAAAACGGCATTGAAGGAGGATCTTGAATCAATTAGAAAAGATGTTAAAACGGTAATCGGGTTAATCGTGGGGTTATTAAGGGATAGGATTACAATGTGTGACGAGCATGAAATTAAGAAGCGTCGTAAAAATAACAAATGGTAGATATTTTTTTTAACTGTAATTTATCATGTATCTGTCATCTATGTGCCTACATACTTTCTGTAACAATAAAGCAAAATTTTTTTCTGGGATTCGATCTCGTTATAACGTAAAAAAATCATTAATACGATCGTGACATTTTGTCACGGTTTTGTACATGTTATGAAACCGAATGTATGATGTGCTTATTTAAATTGAATATTTTCCATAAATTGCTCGTTTTCTAACGTCATCTAAAAATAGAGCATCGGATGCATCTTTATCTTTTTGTATCGCAACCCTCGCAAAATAAAACAGCTAATGAGGATTTAACACAATCAATTTTTACACGACCAATACACATCCAAAAGATATTTTGTTAAACATTATAAAATAAACCACATTTAATAATTAACAACTCGTTTCTTTTTTCTGGATTTTGTACTTTTAGTGTTTTCTGCTTCTTCGGTGTCTTTTGTAGGGGTATGAATCATACGTGTAGTCATTTTCTTAAATGATTCAATTTCACCACCTTCACTCCATAGAAAATCTTGAATCGACTTTGTGCTTTCGGTTAATAATGACTAATTTACAAGAATCGAGAATGTTAATTTCGTGTTTCTATACTTTTTCTTTTTATATATCATAAAATCTACTGGAGCGAAGCCAGCTGTTAAGAATAATCTTTACAAACCTCATACTTCAAAAAGCCCATTATAGTTTTGTTCGCCCTTGTCATGTCTGCCCATGTTTTTGGAAGGGAAAACTTTAATGTTGGTTTCATAGTATAAATTTCGGCGAATTTAAGTCGAAATTCATATATAGTAATCTCATTTACTATGCATTCCAGGAGTTAGTGGAGTTAGTAATGCATGATAATAATAACGAACAAAAGTATTAGTAATCAGAACTTACAATACGCTTGCAATCCGTATAGTTTAACCAATGTAATATCAGAACTCGGGTTTAGTTCCGCAAAATGGTTTGTTATTGTTTTTAACATTTTAGCAATTTTCACCCTTATAATGCGACCAATCATTTTTCATCGGTGGTCCACTAATTTCAATGACAGAAAATTCTTGATTCTCCTCTCATAATTCAATAATAGTATCAATTTTCTTTCCAGTGGACCTGCGTTCAGAATCTTCTTTTTGTGAATTTCTATCTTTTGTGCTCGCTTTGAGACAAGTTTCGCCGTAAGATGCACGCCATTGCCTTTTATTTTTGATAAAAAATTCATCAAGAACGGGCGCTAGGACACTATTGATATATGTACCTTCCGACATTGGGTCAAGTAATAAATTGACATCTTCCATTAATTTCACCCTATAAATATAATTAATCTCATTAATCGCAACCACATTTCTCAATGAAGATTAAGAAATAAACTCACATATGTCTCACGAAATTCAACGCGAATTTATTTTCAAATAAAGCGGTATCTTCTTCCTTTACTTGTTTGAGTTTTTCCTTTGTTTTTCTAATATCACGATCAATGATACGATCTAACAGCAGTTTGATTTCATTTTCCACTGTACTTTCGGTTTCTTTCTCATTTATATCACTGAGCATTTGTACTACGGTACTTTCATCCAATGTCTCTAAAAACCCATCTTTATTAGAATTGAAGAATACAATGTCATAATATTCTGGCCTCGTCTTTGGCAAATTCTTCTTCAACTGGTATTCCTTGAGGCGTTCCCCGATTTTTATTCCATTTACAATCCATTCGGTGATTTTTCCACCAACAATCGTTAGATCTGCATCAAATTCTTCGTCATCTTCTTCGGTTTCAAGATCACGTTTTTTCCCTTGGTGATTCACCAAAAATGGGTTTGGTAATGGTTTTTTGCATATATATTTTGGTGAAGTATTATAAAGTAATTTTTCGTTCTTTCCTTTACCTTCTGGTATAATGGTTCGCTTTGGTGTACAGATATCAGCCTTGCTATACACCTAGTCATAAAGAAAATAATAAGTTCATTATAACTAACTTTAAAAGTCAATGGGTCTTACTC